ATGCATAAGACCCATGCAAACTCAACCGGACAAAAACCCCGCATAGAACTGGGAAAAAGGGTAAGAGGCCCCAACCTTAGCCAAGGAACTCTTGGCAGCTGAATACTGCTCAATGATGGAGAGCTGGTCTTCTTTAAAGGAGTGATGCTAGATAAGTTGACCAGGCTCCAGTGGGTAAACTCATACCAAGGGACAGCTTGGGACACAAACTTGACTTGATAGGCCTTAACATATATGACAGAATGCATAAAATCTGGTGAGGGGAGGGGGCTATAAGGGAATGCAGATAGGGGAGGGGGGTCTAAATATGATTAAGATGTTTTTTATGAAATGTACAAAAGTAGCCGGGTATGGTGGTGCACACCTTTAATCTCAGCACTTGGGAGGAAGAGGCAGGCGAATCTCTGTGAGTTCGAGGCCAGCCTGGGCTCCATAGCGAATCCAGGCCAGCTGGGGCTATAGGAAGACCCTGTCTCAAAAAGCCAAAAGAAAGAAGAAAAAAAGAAATGTACAAAAGTTAAATAAAAAATATATATTGAAAAAAAATCACTTCTACCTGCACAAGCCTGAGGACTCTATTCTAAGACTAACTTCTCCACAGTACCTCTTCTCAGTCAAGCAGACACCAATTATTCCCATTTCTGTCACACTTTATCTCTCTTCAAGTTTCCATTCCTCAGTGGCTATCATTCATTTCTGCTGATTTGTCTTTTGCACTGGTCTCTCCTTCTCTGATACTCCCCAACACCACTGAACCAATGGCAAGTAGCATCCTAAGCAACTTCCTGAAACACCTCTCATAACACACACCATGCCTAATGCCCTTTACTGACCTCCCAACACCTACATCAACTCCCCAAAGTACCTCTGCCTTAACATCCTGAGTATAAATTCTACCCCATCCTGCTTATCATTTTGGTGCTGATGCTCACGGAAACAGACTCAGATGCCCCCAAATGCTGTCACAACTAAGGCAAGTAGATAAAGGGTAGAGACATGCCACTAGACACTGAAGTACTTACAACATGCTTGCTCACTCATACCCACATAGTCCCAAATCCTACTTACCCTGTGTATTATACAGCCTGCGTTTCAGATACATGACACATCAATAAACAGACTATACAGCTGCTTTAAATCAGGCAAGCTATTAACTACTTCACAGTGTGAAACTCAGCAACAAGCAAAAGGTCATGAGTATGATAGGGCTTATCTAGAATAACACTCTCGTTTCAGCTTACCCATGCTACCAAGACATAACATTCACTCCAGTGTGTGCCTGTAGGAACAGCAACATTCCACCTTCCAAAGGAAGAAGAAAAGCTATGTACAAGGTGAGGACGAAAACCTACTGCTTGTCCATAAACAACAGGTCTGAGGGAGAACATTACAGTCTTTCAGAAGCTCAGTGAGACTTCATTCCACAGCTCTGACTGTGTCAGGGTGCTGGCTGGATTTTTCTCCAGGACTCAGACTGATTTTTTTTTTAATGAAATGAAATTGCTATCACAGCAATGAAGGGTGTTCCCATAATAGGTCATGCAGGGAACTATCAGACATTGTAACTAGAGCCAAGAGGACCGACTTCCAGGAGGGTTGTAGGAAGGAAGTTCAGGGGTTTGGGTGAACAAGACACACAGACACACTCAACAAGATGGGGAAGTCACCGAAGGCTTTCAGTGCCTGCTATGCTGGTTAGTTTTTATTGTCAACTTGACACAATCTAGTCAAAGGGGAAGGAGCCTTGATTGAAGAAATTCCCAGATTACATTGGTCTTGTGGCTATGTCTGTGAGAGACTCTTATTGATGATTGACGTGGAAGGGCTTTGTCCACCACGGGTGACATGATCCCTAGGTAAGTGGGTCTGTGCTATAACAAACCTATCTGAGCATGAGTCAGAGAGCAAGCCAGTAAACAGGTCTCCTCCATGGTTTCTGCTTTAGTTCCTGACCTGACTTCCCTCAGTGATGATCTGTGACCTAAAACAAGTCAAATAAAGCTTTCTTCCCTTCTAAGTTGTTTTTTATTAGACTAGCTCTGAAATCAGTCAACTCTGAGTAAGGTACATGGCCTACACAATAACAACCACACCCAAATAAATAAAGGTCTTTAAGATATAAAAGACTGACCTCCAAAGAAGAAAGGATTTCAAGACTGTCCAGAGACTCCAGCCACATCAGTTCTTCCTTGGATCTCCAACCAAACAATCTACCTTCAAGATCTTAGCCTCCACCTCAGGAAGAATGACAAACTGGAAAGTTCTGGTGCAGAACTGACCCCATATAACTGATCTAAGCTATGGGAAATACTAAATTTTTTGTTTGTTTGTTTGACTGTTTCTTATAATATACACAATGAATTTCAGTCATTTTCACATCCCATCCCCCGCTCTCCTCCTGGAACCTTCCTAGCAAGTTTCCTGCCTACTTTCATTTTGTATGACCCACTGAGTTCAAGTAGCATTCCTTAAATGCCAGAGCATGAGTGGGAGGTGATTTACTGGAGCGGGGGTAACTTATCAGTGTCTATATACTACTAAAGAAAATGACATCCCTTTCCCCAATAACTGTTAACAGCCAAGAGTCCCTCAGGGAGCGGTGTGGCCTCTCCCTCTTCTATCTATGACAAGACAAACCGGCTCAATCTTATGCAGGTCTTGTGCTAGATAAGCTCTGCTGCAGTGAATTTGAGTGCAATGGCTATGTCACATCCAGAAAACATCCTGGCTCACATTCTTTCCACCCCCTCTTACTCAATGTGTTCCCTGAGACTCGGGGGGGGTTGTGTAGCTGTCCAAGCACTCCGGGCATTTATATATATATATGTGTGTGTGTGTGTGTGTGTGTGTGTGTATGTATGTATGTATGTATTATATGTATATGTATATGTATGTATATATGTATTTTTTTATAGACAGAAACTTCAGCAAGAAACAAATGTTAAAGAAACTTCCCAGAAAAAATTCTGCATCTTGAGCTGAACTTTCTGCAAGGCTGATCAACTGATTAACACTTCAACTGTGGAAAGTTTAGAATGTAGCAGATTCAGAGTCTATTCACAAATTATCTGGGAGCATCTTTAGCCCCCAAACAGCCACTCCTTGCCCACTTCTGTTTCTGAATTAACACCTTGCGACTAATAGAATGTATTAACAAAAGAAACAGTTCCTACCAATCAAAAGGCTAAGAATGGCATCAGCATCTAAGCCTATAGCTGATATTTCTCTTTTGCTATATCTGACTACTTACTGTTTCCACCAATGTATTTGAAAAGTATCTTGATGTATGACTTTGTTCTGTTACACTGGAACACAGAATTTGGGGTAATCTTAATCTGTGTTCCAGGGCCATGGTCACTCATATCTGACTCCATAATAAACTATTATCCCCTTTGAGGTGAGAGTTTGCTTTGCATAACAAACAACCACCTCACAGGTTTTATGCTAAGTCTGGCCCCCTCCCATATTATTCCTAGGGTCATCTAAGTTCATTGGAGATGTTACTGGGTATCTCACAATACTGAGAACCAGGAACAAAACCAGGTCTATGCCAGGTCCACTCACAGAGTCAACCAATCTTCACTCAAAACACAGTCAACAAAGAAACACTTAACATCTATTATAGGCCAGGCCTGTAGCAACATCACATAAATGATCTGTTTCTGGCAGTTGAGGGGCAGCTACTTATGAAAAGTAACGGTGTGTTAGAAATCAATAAACCAGACAAGGGAGAAACCTGCAGAAAAAGACTCTTCAAGGGCAAGAGAAGTAAAAAGGGGACTGGAAGGGAAAGGCAGACCCAAAAAGCAACAAGCAAAACAGTTACCTTTTTGTTTGTTTCTTTGTTTTGAGTTAGAGTCTCCTTGTAGCCCCAGCTAACCTGGAATTTGCTATTTAGATCAGGCTGACCTTGATCTCACAGAGATATACCTGCCTCTGCCTCCAGAGTGCTGGGATTAAAGGTATGTGCTATCATACCCATTTTTAAACAAAGATAACTAAGTTTGGTTTAGGCCATCCTCTCTCCCAAGAGGCAGAATGCACATGGCATTACTATGCTGACATTGCTATTACCTGAACAAATAAAAGCCTAACTCTCAAATGTAGTTTTCAGAGTGGACCTGAACTCAGAGGACACTTGTCCCCCTAGAGATCTCTTGGAACTGCCTGTCTCCTGGAACTGTGCTGATGGAACTGTCTTGTTGGAACTTTGTCTCTGGAACCGTGTCCCAAGTTCAGCCCCACCTATAAGGTCATTCAAAATGGTTTCTCCAGTTTCATTTGGGGAAGAAAAAGCCTGGCTCCACCTTAATCTGAACAAATCATCCCACTTTTCTTAGTTCTAGACTATCTCATTCATGGAGGTCAATCATCCTTCCTATTCCCCTGCTATGTGCAATGAGATGGGTGGCTGTCTTTCATCATTTTGATATGGTAATTCTCAAGCATTCCCACATTCATTCATTATCTTTTTGGGTACAGTACCAAATTGACGTTGCCAGGGAAATGAAATCAGGTGACAACATGGTTTTGTTGGTGTTAACTAAAAGTTATTAGTCCAGATTATGTCCATTAATAAAAGTCATTCCCCACAGCAGAGAGAGTCCTTTCAACAACTTCTTTTCCTTCCAGCCAAAGAGGAATCCCATTCAACTCAGGCCTACACTCAGGCCCTGCCTAATTGCTCCAGGTAGCCTGGATGAAGCAATGTGCTAGCTTTCCCTGTTTTTGCACATTTTCCTTGTGCTGTTGTCACTATTCATTTATCAAGAGCCCAGTGTTGCTGCTATTTATAGTGCCCTTAAATGATCAGTAATTCTTACGGATATTTAGCATACTATACCCTAATACCAGGACATATATACAACATTTTGAACTGACTGCACAGTTTGGTGTTCAGAGTTAAACTTCTCCTAACTAAGACACAGTGATACTAAGTAAAAGAGGGTAACCTCTGCCTCAAAGCTACCTGCAAGTTTAAAACTGTGCTGCATACACACCTTGATTCTTTGAATGCTGACGACGGCCTCTGACACTTTCTCAATGGCTGCTGGGAAGAAGAGGGTGACTGTCAACCGAACAGCTCCATACAGGGTCATTGCCACAAACACACGTCTGGCTGTGATCACGTTGCCAAGTAGCACATAGGTGGTGAAGGTCACAAAGAGGATGACTTTGTTTGCAACAAAAAATGATGCCAAATTCATCCCTCTGAGGTAGGAGCTACTCAGAATCTTGGAAATTTCCTTCCTGGAAAAGAGAATAAAAATGCAGGTTTTTCACAGGAAAGTGTCAACATTGACGTACTGGGCATACAGCCCCTTGTTAGGCGGTACATATACATTAAGATAAACTGCCTGTGGGGGTTGGGGAGATGGTTCAGTCAGCAAAGTACTTGCTTTGCTGTGCAACCATAACAGCCTGAGTCTGATCCCCAGCACCCATGAAAAAGCCAGATATGCCTGTAATCCCAGCACTAGGGAGGAGAAGACAGGAAGATCCTTGAGGCTCACTGGCCACTAGCCAAGTTGAATCTGTAAGCCTCAGGTCCCAAGAGAGACCCTGTCTCAAAAAACTAAAGTGGAGGGCTGGAGAAATGGCTCAGTAGTTAACAGCACTGGCTATTCTTGCAGATGACCCAGCTTTGATTCCTAGTACCCCCATGGCAGCTCACAACTGCCTATAACTCCAGTTCCACAGGATCCAATGTCCTCTTCTGGCCTCTGCAGGTACTGCATGTACATGATACCCATATATACATGCAGGCAAAACACTCATACACACACACTAACAAATTTTTAAATATGTCTAAAAAATAAAGCAGATGGCTTCTAAGGAAGTATAACATAAGGTTGATCTCTGGCCTCCACAGATGGGCACACACAATACCTATACAGACATATAAACATGTACCACATAAATAAATGATAAATAAATGATTAAAATGACTTACAAAGCCGGGCATGGTGGCACACACCTTTAGTCCCAGCACTCAGGAGGCAGAGGCAGGCAGATCTCTGAGTTCAAGGCCAGCCTGGTCTACATAGTGAGTTCCAGGCCAGCTGGGGCTACAGGGAGACCCTGTCTCAAAAAGACCAAAAAAAAAAAAAACTTACAGCATTAGCAAGAGTTGCTAACATACACCTTGGGGCCAGCTTCAATAAATAACCACACAGAACACTGATTAACCACTTTAGTCACTGAACCAAAAAGTGCGAGAGGCACAGTGTAACATTTCCAGGCACTCAGAGTTAATCTGATCAAGAACTCAAACACACATGCATTTAACTAGCATACCTAAAGGTAAGTCCTGGGCCAGGTACCTCACAGACAGAAGACTGAGTAGAGCCCAGTCTGACCCCTCCATGAGTGCAGCAACTCACTGGAGAGGACAACACCCCTAAAATTGTTGAGTCTCTCCCCCAAGGCCCTAGACAGAAGAAGCTGGCACAGTGCCTCCTGGGACATGGAAAAGAGAGAGTGACAGGACAGTGGAGTCTGGGAGGGAGGCATGCTTGGAGGAGGCCAGAGATGAAGGACAGCAAATCTGCAGAAGGACGGAGGGACTCAGGTGCAGAAGTAACAGGTGGCCAAGTGCTAAGCTATAAAGTCCCTGTGCCAGAGTACAAAATAAATACAACCAAACTGTTTAAATGAAAACAGAAAGAAAATCCCCCCAATATAAAGCAAAATGAAAGGAATACTTCTATAACTTTGGAATATATATTCAATATATATTAAGCATCCTCAATCTCCATCACCTTTCCACTGGCTACAATGACATAAATTATACCTTTATTTTAAATGTAATATTCTCAAATACTTATACCTTGGAATTGTTGCTTACAGGGAATTAGGAGCACTCAAACATTTGGAATTTTGTTTGGGTATGTATGACTAAGAAGCATGTGAGAAGGGCATTATGGGGCTCAGTGGTGTAAGTACAGGGCTTATCTAGCATGCGCAAAGCCCTGGGTTCAATTCCTAGCACCATCAAAAACAAAATGAGTGACAGAAACAGACAGACAGACAGGATGAGAAACATACTTTTTGCTTACAGATGCTGTTAAACATAAACAAAAGCACAGGTTAAGACACTGTCCAGTGCCATTCTACCAACACTACTGCCCATGTAGGGGTGGCACAGATCATATCAATGTTCAGACTATTGTGAAGACATAATAAGAATTTTAAATTCCTTCAGTAAAAGTAGGAACTAGAGAAGCACAAAATATGGTATACGATACACCAAGACTTACTTTCTCAGACTGGTAATGAGGTCTGCAAATGACTTTTCCCAAGCATACATTTTTATTATCCTTATGCCAGTTATAACTTCATTCATGGTCCTGATTCTGGCATCCGTGAAAGCTGCAGTTTTACTCCTGAGGAGGACAGATGTGAGAGATGAGCCACAGCAACAGCAGCCTACCTTCCTTATCAGCCACAGGCACAGGCAGGGTCCCAGGCTCAAAGGAATCCCCGCAGCACTTCTCTTCCGACAACACAGCTCTTCTACTCACAAGCTAGAAATCAGCCACTTTTCCCCACTCTGTATTTTAGAACATTTGCAAATGGCTGCTGAGGAAAACCTGAAAATGGATCAGGTATAATCAACCCACTGCCTCATGGGGCACTCAGGGAGTCAGGGAAGGCAACACAGCACCAATTTCTGACAGGGATGCAACTGACATATGGCGTGGAAGAGAACCGAAAGGCTGTGGAGCAGAAAAGGGAAGATTGTCGCTTCCATCCAGAGAGAGCAAAAAAGCTTCAGTGAACTGGGAGCATTAGAACTGGGTCTCCAGGGATGGTGAGGTTTCTTCATAGCAAAGAGGAGACAGAAGTTCCAAGTAGAGAAAAAAGCATGATCAAAGACATGAAAGAAAAAAGCTCAGGGCTCATCACACAGCATGGCATCTCCCCTACCCAAAGACCTTGATGGTGACTTGTCTCTAACTCTTGCTACCTGCTTCAAGTACAGGTCACTATACCATCATTAAGGCCTTCATTCATAGACATGTTTCTAACATATACATGGCTAGGATGGTGAAACTTTACAAAAACACCATTAAGACTAAACCCACCCCAGGGGAGCTTATAATTCAATGGAAATATTGAAATAAAACCAATACACACATATACCTAATGTGAGAATAGCTTCACAGCAGTATAAATCTGAATCTATAAAACATTTGGATTGGGTCATTGAGATGGCTCAGAGGGTAAAGGTGCTTGCCTCAAAGCCTGATGACCTGAGTTCAATTCCCGTGACCCACACAGAAGAAGGAGAAAAACAGCTCCAAATTGTCCTCTGGTCTTCACATATGGGCAAAGGCATGTATACCCATACCCATACACCACAATAAATAAATAAATGTAATAAAACTAAAACCTTTTTAAAATGTGGATTTCCTACCATTTAATATTTTTAAAGAACTTCCCTACATGGGATTTCTGCTAAGGACACTCCGCTTATGTGACTACCCTGTCTGAAAAGCCAGCTAAGAGCAGCCAGCCAAAGTCTTCACCTTTCCCACTTTAAGATCAGCCTCCAGCCTACGACTAGAGCCCCTCAGGCTAAGCCTGAAGAGCCTGCAGCATATGCAAAGAAGGGCTAATGAAAGGCAGTTGTTTTGTCCCTATACAACAAGTGGGTCACTAAAGGACATAATTTCAGCCTGGCATTTCTCTTACCTTAATGATGAAAACAACTTCCCAACACAGCTCTGAAAAGGCAGAAGAATAACGAGAACCGCCATCCCCGAGAGGCAGGAGATTCCTATTTCCATCCAGAGAAGAGCAGTCACTGCTATGGCCTGCAGTGGCCCTGCCCACAGAAAGTGTAAGAAGATTGTCACCTTCGAAGAAAAAGACAACACATTCTTAGGACTCTATAAACAAGACCAGCTAGAATCCAGCATAGAAACATTTTGCTCAAAAAGAACAAAAGATGGGAATCCAGACAGAAAGGATTACAGCAGGTTTAAACCTGGTGAGGCAGAAATGCAGGTATCCACCTCAGAGGAAGTTATTCTGGGACAGCTAAGGGTAGTCCATGGCCCTGCATCACAGGAGCACTTTGTATTTCTATTATGCTAGAGATAATCTTTTCTCCCTCACGTGAGCTCAGCGCTCCCCAGAACTTGCTCTGCCACAGGACTGAGCCCTATCCCTCCTGGAGCTCCTCAGTACCTTGGGAAAGCCTGTGCTACAGTGCCTATCACATTTCATATCCATTACTTAGGTATTTGTCCTCTAAATAGGAACAGGGACTGAGCCCTATCCCTCCTGGAGCTCCTCAGTACCTTGGGAAAGCCTGTGCCTATCACATTTCATATCCATTACTTAGGTATTTGTCTCTTCAGGACAGAAACCAAGCTGTACTTTCTTCAACCCTAACACTAAGTGGGGGATGAAGTTTATGTGAATGAGTGAAAAACTGAAACGATTCCAGTGCAATGCAGAACTGACCAGCAGTTGGAATGTTCTAGACCTTATGCTCAGTCTATAACCTAAGTATGGAAATATGTGTGTGGAGCAAGAGAGTTGATATTTCTAGCTCAAAATCACCTATATGGCATTATTTATCAAAGGAGTCTCATGTATCAGGTTCTACACTGGGCATTACTATCCTCCAAGCATTTATCCCCTAGAAAAGGAGAAAAGACAATTAGCCCGCTACTCATCGCCAGGTGCTAAAGGCAAAGAGGCAGTCACTCAGAATTATTAGCTAGTCACCAAGTTGGACAAGAACACTGTTCTCTGTCAACCTATTATTGAAGTGTGCTACATCAGAAAAAAAAAAAAGACACGAACCTACAGGATAAACACATCTTATTGTACTGTAGCTGCACACAGAAGAGATATGTATTAAAAGTACCTGTGTCACAACTTCAAAAGAATCCTGATCTGCACCCTCAAACCTTCACATTCTATCTAACAGGCTAACATGGAAAAAAAATTAGCACATAAGTTGACATAGGTGCAGCATACCTGATCAAACTTGTTCACATCATTGGACAGCAGGTTGACTATCTGGCCCGTGGTTGTCTTCCCCATGGCCATGTTACTAAGACGAAGTGCCTGAAATAAAGGAGGAAAATGGGGACATATCCTATAGCGAAACTCTATCATGTACAGAAAAGAGAGAAACAATTTTCATGGGGTCTCATGTGATGTAAAGGCCAAAGTGACCCATGATGACAACTGATGGCTGAGAGTGACAGTTGTGGCCTTTGAGGACAGCAAGGGAAGCAAAAGAGGCAGGAGAGAAATGCTCGGCTCCATTTTTAATGAAACACCCAATATATGTCAGTTTATATGTAAGAGGCTACCAAGGTAATTTTGCGCCAATTTAGATGAGGGTAGGAAGGTTTTTAAGTGGTGGTGGGGGGGAATGACAGGACATAGATTATAAATATTAAATCCATCATTAATTCTTTTGGAAATGACATTCACACAGGTTACGGATTCCTCCTTATGTCTAAGGCAGTGGGTCCTTGCCCCTCAGAGGGTCCCAAATGATTAAGAAATCGCAACTCATTACGGAGTATATGGAGTATATGGCAAAGGGAAGCCCCCAGGGACCCGGGAAATGCAATGATTGGTGAGTCACAACCTCCTGTCTGCAGGCTGTGATTCAGAGTGAGGGGGCAGGTAATGCAGCAGAGACCTGAGGAAAGGTCTCCAGCACTGAGACGGTGGGCAGGCAAGGGCACAGGAAACAAGGAGCAGCTTTGAGGAGACAAAGGAAGGGCACTGTGGGTGGTACACAGCTGGGGGCGAGTGCAGAGAAGGGAAAGGGTAGAGTCAGCTAAGTAGGGAGGACCCCACATCCGGCTTGGAAGATAGATCAGGAAGCAATTCAAGTCTGGAAGATGATGTGGAAGATGACATGGCTTTTTTTTTTTTAATTTTTACAAAAACTTTATTAAGAATTTTATACATGCATGTAAGGTGTTTTGATCAAATCCATGCCCATTCCCTCCCCTCCAATATTCCCGCCTCTGAAGAGGCAACCCTAAAATCTTTTAAGGATTAAGTAAAGGCTCCCAAATACTTTTGACATTTTTGGCCCTGGAACAGAGTATGTTGCTAAGAGGCCCAAGGACATTTTGACTTTTAGCCAAGAAACTGGCTACATTTCTTTGAGGTCTTTTTACCCTAACTGCCTAGCCAATTCCTACCTCCTATTCTTTTCACACCATGCCCTGATGGAGTTACCCAAATTGCCAATAGGGAATAGGGATGCCGACTGCTCTGGCTTCTTCCATGCTGAACAGGGATGCAGTGTGAGGCAATTGGAGTACCCCTTCAGTGGGCCTATCTAAAAGACTCCCAAATTGCCTAACTTGTGTCTCTAAGA